TTTATGTTATATATAATTTGTGACATATTACAAGTGCCAAAAAGCCTACAATTTTTTCAATTCCTACTAACCCTATGATTTCTACAATTTCTACTATTTCTGCGATTTTACGATTTCTATAATTTTTACTAATTCTACTAATTCTACTATATATTTACTTCACTAGTATTAGCCCTACTATATGTATTAATTATATTGGATTACGCATAATTATCCTATAAAATAGGAATAATTGTGTCTTTATACACGAATAATTCGAGTACTTTATTGAATAAATCATAAACTTGTTTACACGACCACTTATATCTTCATATATATTTAGCTATTTGCTTCTTACATAATCCTCTTAAAGCGTAATTGCAATAAACCTTATACTTTACTTACATAAACATGGTATTTGTTATTAATCATCTAACATATCCGTTGCTAAAGTAAATTAGTATATAAGAGGTAGTTTTCAGGTATAACAATACTTGTAAATAATAATTTTTTAATTTACTATTAAATAAAAAAAAATTGCAGTCAAGGAGTGTACAATAACTAAATAGTTGCTGATTAATTGTATGTGACTTTTTAACTGAAGGTTGAAGACAATAGAAGCACATTGGGTTGCAACTTGTGACAGTTACCGGTGGACAACTTGTTGTGAACATTTATTTTTTCTTCCAATGGTTTTAGGGAGTACTATTTCGGTTAATATTTTGGTTTTATGTTCACAGGACTAATTAAGGTAATTACTTCTTAAGAGGGTCAGGTGGATGGAAATTGGTTATTAATCGTTGTAGGTGGTGAACGATCAAGCAACAGGAAGCTCTTAGTGACCACGGTTACTGTGAATGTTCTTGTTTGGTTTTTTCAATTATGAAGCAATTAATTATTATTATTTTTTTTTGTTTATACCGGTACATAGACTATATAATACGCAAGACTGATCAAAGATTGATGAATCCCTACAAGGCCGACGAATTTAAATTATGACTTTACAAAAAAAATTAGAAATTAGTTTTTTTGTTTAAGTAGATTATTTTTTTAGCAAAATAGTTGTTTTTAAATTATTTCTGCGCATGTAATTTAATAAATTTACGAAATGAAATCTGTTAATTCGAAATCGGTTAATAAAAATTATAAAAGATAAAAATATCGGTTTGTCAAAAACTTATAAACGTTATCTTGTTTAAGCCTTATAACGAAAGAAATGGTTTTAGATTTTCGAATCAAATTTTGTACTAATCCAGAAATGGTTAATAATATAGAGAGCTTTGCGCAAGCGAAACATCATAAAATGAATGAAACAAAATACTTTCTATTAAATAGCTTTAACAGTAAAAGTCTATAATTTTTTTGCGAGACACCCAAGTTTTTGAGACTATCTACACTTAATGCAGTTCCGATTCGTTCAATACTGTGGTACGTACGTAATTTAAAGTTTAACATCAATTTTGAACTTTAGCTGAAAAAATCCAATTAACAATGAACTTTATTTTCAAGTAGCATAACGAAAGTATTAGAGGTTCGATCGCCAGAATATAATGATTCGAAAAGGACTGATACAAAAACTGGCTATTCAGGTGTAATTTTAAAATTGAACAAATTTGAAAACTTGCTTGAGAATTCCGTACAGTTATGGCAAGGCATATCGATATAGGGTGACACTTCGAATTTGGCTTAATTTTTTCAAATCCGATCAATATGATCTGATCAATCAGAGTGGCAGAACGGTTAGCATCACAGGTTTCGCTAGTGCAGCCAATGAAATAAACTTCCGTCATGCTAACTTGCAGTAATTTTACGTTAATTGGTGAACTTTATTGTATATATTTGGGATTTGGAATTTGGATTATATTTTGAAATCTAAATAAAATACCTAATTAAAAAATTTATAAAATGTTGCTTGAAGATCATTGGATGGAGATTGTTTATCACTGACTTCCGATTGGTCAATCGCCTGGAATCAGGGACGGTGAATACTTCAATTGACCAATCAAAACTTGCGCCTGTTACTAGATTCAAATTTTGATTGGAAATACGACACGCGTCATTAGGGTGCTCATAAACAAACCATAATCAGAGTCACATATAACTGCATGATAAATTGTCAAGATAAAATACAATTTTTTTAGGGGAATTTACAAATAAGGGCCCGGAAAGTGAAAATAATTACAAATACGGACCCAAATTAAAAATAATTACATATAAGGGCCTAATTTTT